CTTTTCTCTCTCTCTCTCTCTCTCTCTCTCTCTCTCTCTCTCTTTCTCTCTCTTTTTCTCTCTCTCTCTCTCTCTCTCTCTCTCTCTCTCTCTTTCTCTCTCTTTTTCTCTCTCTCTCTCTCTCTCTCTCTCTCTCTCTCTCTGACCATATGTTATGTTCCTGGTTACAGTTCCCGACAATCCTCGTTATATTTACTCACTTGAAATACTCCATATAAGCAGTGTCGTTGTGGTGGAGGTAGAGGAGGTACTGAGCCAGGTCGTATACGCTGGGGAACCTGGAGGCGTCGATGAAGGAGTGTGGAGGAGCCTGAGTTGTATAGTTACCGGAGCCCCACACTACCGGCACCACATAGTACCTGTCGGAGGATGGGATAACACGTGGCATATCTCTTCTCTCCTCCCTCTCTGTTATTGTCTGTAGGTCTACCTACTGTTAGGACGTGGGGTGAAATGTATAATACCTCTCGCTCGCTAGCTAACTATCTATCTATCTAAATAACTCGCAATCTATCTAGCTATCTATCCATCTATCCACCCATTAGCTCCTTTGGTGGTGGGACGAAAATTTTTATCTCAAGAAGGTACAGTTCAAGGTTAGATTAGTTTAGGTTAGCATTTGGGTCTTTATTCAACAAGTGAAATAATGTGGGGTTCATAATGTTCATGAGTTCCTTTATACTAAAAGATTAGGTAGTGGCTATTCAGCTGTCACCGGTTGAATAGCCTGGTAGTCTACACTCTTCTATCGTGAGCCCATGAGAGGATAGAATGTTGTTGGCTTACATAAATAATATCAATAGTGTAGGAATTGTATTCAGAACATTAACAAAATATATCTAACAACAGGATTATCGCCAAGTGGGTCATAAGTGAATCTGAGTATTGACGTTTCTGGACAGGTCAGTATTACCGGTAACTGGTCCTCAATCTGACATGGTCAGGTCGGTGTACAGCCAGGCAAACGGCAACATGAGGTGACAGACGACTAAGGCAATTAATGGGTTATCCTATGGAGCCTTACCTAAGGTATGGCTTTACGTGGCGGGAATGACAATACGTAAATTAGAAGGCAGTGTCATCGAGCAGGCGGCCAGCGTCCCTGAGACTGGGACGCTGTGTGTACACTGAACTCGGTGAACTGTATCATTTTTTTTGCTTTTATCATCGTTATTTATATATTTTCGTTATTGCTGTTTAAATGTCTACAATTTTAAGTTTTGATGTTACAGTATACAGTTAATGGTATTTTTAGGGGTGAATCTAGTGAAATTTATAAATGGGAGTTGGTAACATTGTTCAGGTAATTAATCGGATTTAAAAAAAAATTCCTACCGTAAATAAAAGTGTACAATATAACTCCCATAGAAACAAACTACACAACAGATACAGACAAACACATCATTCTGGTCTTGTCAAACGTAGGCTCACGGGTGAATAGCCGGCTGCTTTAGAAAGGAAGTACACTAATATTATGGAAAAGGGACAGCAGTAAATGGAGACAAAGAGAAGGAAGAGAAAGAAAAGGAGAAAAATGCATTAAACAGTTGCAGTCTATCCAAGCATCCATCTCGAACACAGAACAGAACTTAATAGAACTCACTCAAGAACGCCGAAGAACTTCTCCGTGATGTAGTCTCGACAAAGAGAGTTCTCGAAAGCCATATAGAACTTGTAGTCTTTCTGTAGCATCGTGTAGCACTGGTTCTGGTGTACTCGTGGACACTCAAGGACACCACACTTGCCATAGATGTCCAGAGGGAAGTAGTTCTGTAGTGTCCGAGCTAGGCTGGAGGGAGGGAGGGAGGGACACGCAGGGTGACCACGTGTCCACAGGTGGTCATTACGAGTTCATAAGTGGACGTGTTGAGAAGAGAGAATAATATTACTCATAACAATGCTGCTATTACCTTTACGTGTACAGTGTTGCTGCTACTATTATTATTAATGCTATTCAGTGCTGCTACAGTGCTACTATTGCTACTGCCACACCTTTTCCCTCTCCGAAGTGACGTTTTTTCGATGAATTATTCGAAATTTTTAGTTTGATTTCGACATTTCTCATGTTGGGGCGAGATTTACCGCCTGGCACAACATAGAGGCATAATGACTAACCGAGTAGCCAACTTTATACACTTTATCCCTGTGTGTTATTTTCGTTCACAGTGATGACCAGCCAAGCACGTGATATTTATGAAGTTCTTAGTGGATAAAACTATAGTGCATTAGGACTAAGTGGTCTGTAGAGATAATAAAATAGTACATACAGAGTGACTTAAAGAAACAAAGTAGTGTTTTGTGATCAGTTGGGAGCGTGAAGAGAGAGGTGAGGTGAAGGAGTCTGGAACAACATAATTAATGCGTTTATAGTTAATTTAGATCAGTAAGATTGCTCAAGCTAATGTGTAGTTTTTGTGGGATGTAAAGTTTAGATTAATTTTTGTAGATGAGCATAAATTTTTTGAGTTTTAAAGGATACAATTGAAGGTAATTTTTTTATTAAAATCTTATATGAATGTTGAGTATAAAGTTTTTAATATTTACCATCAATTAATACTATTTTATCGACATTATCCTCCTAACAGACGTGATTAGTGTCTGTGGTAGAGTCCATAGTAACTTTGAAGAAGAGGAAAAAGCAATTCTCACACACACTAACATTTTAAAATTCACGAGTAGCGGGAATTATTATGTTTTATATTTTTCACACTGATTAGCTTCTATTAGTTTCCCTAGAAGTCCAACGAATATCATCCCCATGTGTCCAGTGTGAGTACATGAGGGCATAGAAGGACTTAAGAATATCTGGGAGAGTCACACTGTATAACACACACTTCATACCCAACCACATCGGGGACCGTATAAGTCACAGTTGACACCGTCTTTTGATTAAGGAAAAAACAAGCATTTTAGACCACAGCAAATATTAAATACAAAAATATATGCGCTTCACGTTTATATTATCGTAATTTCACCGAATAAACAAAAATACCTCTGAAATATGAGAAGAGTTTAAAATACCATAAAAACGTTCAAAACAAACAAGTTACTCCTAAAGTTACATCGTTTTCTCTGAAACTACCGTATCTGCTCCCGACAAAGTACGGCAATGGTAAACTATTATATATTTTTTGGTTTATCTGTCATGACCTACGAAAATGCTAGATCACCTAAAATTCCGCCACCCCATATTATTTCATCTGAATATTAACCAACCTAACTCTAAAATAACTTGAACTAACCAAAAATATTTATCTGATAGCTTAAACAGATTAAATAATCAAACTATATGGAAATTATGAAAAACATTGTTACGTGTGTATTGAGTTGCCAGCTAGGAATTTTACACCCGCGTAAGAAAGTATTGTATTATTGTACTGTACCCAGGGGTGACCGTTAGGGCCTTCAACCATTGCAAGTGAATGTGGCCCGAGTTAATCAAGGGGTCCTCAAGCGATCAATGATATTTTTTCCCTTAGTTATACTGCGAAAAGTCCAACAGAACCACTACAGCATTAACGGTGACCAAATGTGAAAATGACCTGGGGTTTACACTTAAGTTATACAATGTTGGCGACTTGTAATGTACAGTCCCTCACTATACAAGTTACCACGAGTTCAGTTCCTTTTTTACCAAATTAATTTCAAACTTTACAAGAGTAATTAATTTAAGTTTATACAATTACAAAAAAAGTTTAATATTGCTGAAGATTTGTATTTAGTTTTAATACTTTTGGTCAAGTATTGTACAAGGTTCAGATCTATGTGTTCATGTTAACGTACATTATACTACACCTACAGTACCTCTCCCTGCCGCTGGATGAGTGACAGTTAGAGACGAACCAGGCAGCTAACTTGGTCTTATTGGCCACCAACTCGGCCACGTCCACCCTCCCGTCCCCATCATGGCTGCTGTGTTGACTACGTTGCGTTACAAAGCCGTGTCTGTCATGAGAATGGTCTCCTATTAAAATGAAAGCTTACAGTGACTGGCTTAGCTTCTTGAGGAAGGACCAAACATTGGGACACAAGTACTGTATGTATGAACTATATCTCGAAAGGAACAGGAAAGTATTATTCTTTCACCTACTGTCTCACACCACTGGAAGGTCCGGGAACACATTGATAGACGCACAGAGAAGAGATGACTTAGAAAATCTGACAAAATACATTCAATAAGTTCCTAACACAGAGATAAACAGTAGTATTGGTTGTCAAGAGGTACTGTACCCTAAAGCTGCTTATGTTCTGATGAAAGTCTTAATGGGTAAAGAGACTGTGGTGTATGTATGATGAAGGCTATTGGAAGGCCTACCATAACCTACCCTGATGTGAAAGAGTAAAACCTGGGTTGGCGTCTGATGGCTACCGATGTCCATAACACCGTAATCTCAGACTTAATGGAAGTTTCACCTGACGAATCATCGCTCACGTAACTGCCAGGGTTGACACACTTTATTAACTTGAAACAATCTAATTCTTGCAGTATTATAATTTACAAAGTACAGGAACAGCGATAGTAAAGAAGTATGACAAAAGTAAGGTTAGTAACTCGGAGATGCAAGTAACGAGTGAGGAGTCCCCGAGTGATGTGGCTGAAGATGACAGTGGAAGACAAGAAGGTGATTAACAGCTTAAGTTGAGATGAAATTGAAGGGGGGGGGGGCGAAACTGACGACGATAGTGACAGTGAGGGTGTACCGACTCAGATGACTCACGGACTCGGGAAATCAGAGTCAAGGCGGTAGGTAAGGGTCCAGTTGAAGACTCCGTCGTAGTGGTGTAGGTCCCCGAATAGGTTCATCGGCGACTCCTGCATCACGAACACGTACCGAGTGTGGGTTGACCTGGAGAGGAACATAAGGTCACAGTAGGTCACGTGGGGAGCGGAGGTCAAATTGAGGGATTGAATGACTTTGCGATCCGTAGAGGCCTTACTCAGAGTTACTTGAGGGTGGAGCCCGGGGGTGTGGGTGATCTGAGGTCAGTTTAGGCTTGGGTGATGACGAAGAGAGTTTATTTGTTGACATTTAAGTTCATAATGAGGACCTGTTCGATTTGGGGAGGACAACTAGGAGTATGGCGACAGGCTGAGTCTTGTTTATGATGACAAAATTAATCGTCTAAGTCGTGTCAAGAGTCTCTGTCACACACCTCTGGCTTGGAAGTGTTTGGTCCTGGGCCCTGAAGTGCCAGGCGACAGCATCTAACTGGTCAAGAGGGAAGCGGAGACGGTCGGCTGTGGTGTAACAAGTGTTCACACGGCACCCGGCACGTACGAATGGCTCTCTTCCAAGCCCGAAAAAGTAGTGTGGCTTCCCGTACATCTGTCATGAAGTAAGTCTGGCTGAAAACTGACTCATAAAGGCTAATATGTAAGTTTTTATATATACCTGGAAGATGCTTATAAAGGCTAGTGTGTACAAGTGTAGAGGTAATTAAAAACTGAATTGATTCACTTAATCTAATGGTTTAACTCCTGTTTATTACCTCAGGCCAGAAGCGACAGTCTTGGTGTCATTCGTTTGTTGGCAGGAAAACGGTTCCAACTAAAACGGTCTCAGTGTACTCAAAACATATTTCAATGATTTAATACATAACCTTACTAATGCATCAAATTGTTTGCTCTTTAACATAAATGCTCAGTCTTACGTCATTCCACAACAGAATTTTTTTAAGAGGAGGATCATCAGGGGGCGAGTCAGGCGTCTCCATCTTGAGGTACTCTGGCATGACTTTCTCTCTCGTCAGGTTGTGATCTCCTGGCCAGGTCAGGAGGTCATCAGTACTCCCACGACTGCTGAATTCCTCCTCCACGTGGTCCTGATCGTCGTTTATAGTCCAGGAATCGTTGACCGGGTTCCTGTGAGTACAGGGTCTTGTGTAGAGAGGCTAGTTCTGCTATTGTGTCCCTTAGTCACGTATTAATGTGAAGTGTAAGTTTATGGCTAGCAAAGGCTTACTGTGATTACCCAATAGAATTTGTATAGCCATCACACAGCTTGAGGTCGCTACTGCAGATACGAGAAGAATATAAACAGAAAACTCCGTCTCCTCGCCAACACTGATCTACGTCCTAGTATATTTGAGAGCCCGTGAATGCCCAGTAATTGTCACCCACCCACCCGACTGATAAACTAACAGGCGGTGATTAAGATAAATATTCCTAACTATTATAAATTTCCTTCCTCAATTTGGGCAGCCTGGCGTCAGTAATGGCCAGGAACTCGCTTATTACTGCGTGTTTTATGTCACTGAAGGTCGTCATGGTTTGTGAGGTTTAGTAATAGAAGAATAAATACTCACTCACTCACTCACTCTCTCTCTCTACCTACCTTGGTTGGAATAAGAGTGGCCGCCCATATAGCTTGTAATAACTGGACAGCAGAATCAACGTCCCGGCCACCAGAACACCAACTCTCGCCTCCTGTGATAGGTGAACGGCAACGTGTGAATGAGGTGGTGGTTGCAAAAAAGGAGACAACAAAAACAGTAAATCAACAACAATAACAAGTGAACGAAAGTGAAGAACAACAGTAACAAGTGAAAGAAAACAAGTGAAAATAACAATAAGTAAACAAAAACAAGTGAAAACGACAATAACAAGTGAACGAAAACAAGTGAAAATAACAATAACAAGTGAATAACAACTAATAACAAGCAATAACGAGTGAAAAAGAATGAGAACAAGTAAACAGGAAGATAGATAAATAAGATACAGCAATAACAAATGTATTAATGGCGGTAATAAATTATAACAATAACAATGAACAATAACAAATAAAAAGCTACGGTAACTAAACAATAGTGATAAAAACAAATGTCTCAAAACTCGCGTAATTTCCGTTTTCCTCAGATCTCAGTTTTCAGGCAGAAAATTTGACCGAGAACTGCGGTACCTCTGTTTTTCTCCCGAGGAATACCGAAATATGCCCGATTTGTTGGCCCCTTAGATAATTGGCCCAAACGAGGTTAACTATTCATGTAATCTTAACGAGTTTTCATGATTTACTTTCATTTCTGTCAACGCTTATATATACATTATACAGTATGTCCACTAACCATGCCCTAATCCAGTTTAGACCCTCCCCCACCACCACATGCCTCTACTTTCAATAATAATCTCTTTGGTGTAGGACATTATTGAAGGATTTGCTAAAGTCTAGGACTCTAGGTATACCACATCATAGTCGTGACCATCGTCCACAGATTCGAAGACGCTAAATAGAATGTCATTATTATTTGTTTGACACGAAAGCCCTAAAGGCATGTTGAGAGTCATCAATAAACCTGTGTTTTTCCAGGTGATTTCGAATTGAATTTGTAATTATTGCTTACAGTGATTTTCCCGTAATTGTTATTAAACTAATTGGACGGTAGTTTGAGGATACTGACCTATCTCCCTTGTTTTTGAAAATCAGTTTTACATTCACTCACTTCAAAGCCCAATTTTATTAACATATTACACAAATTCACCAAAGGTACACTAAGCTCTTCCTTACAGTCCTTTAATACTCTTGTAAATAATGCACCGGGACCTGACGACTTTTGTTTTAGTTTATCTATTATTTACAAACATCGGTGCTAGTGATAACAGCTATACCTTGGGAACCTTATCCTGATCATCTCTGGTGAGAAATTAGTTAAAAAAAAACCACTTCTCCCAAACATCTCTCGTTATCAGTAACTTACCCTGAATCTGACTGTATTGTCCCAGGCTCTTCACAGGCTTTTGTTTCATACATTTGGGAAAACTTTATAGGGTGTCTTATATTTCTTACTGACTTGAACATCATTTTTCCTTTTATTGTCTTGGATAATTTATTAGAAGGATTTTAAACGTCTTTGTGTTTGATGCGTCTACATATCATTTATATTTCCCGATATTATTATTTTTATATTTATTTATCCATTTGAGGTCATTATTATTCGATCCTAATTACTTACATGTTAGTTGTTTATATATAGAGTAGAGTATATTATATAGCGTCTTTATATTATATTCATTGCCTATATCACATTTAGGTTCGGTTTTGTATTTTTATCTACAGGAGGACAAGTTGATGTTACTATATTATATACAGTAGTGTGTTCAAGCAGGAGGGGCACTGTGCTGGATGGTCGAGACGAGTTTCCATTATACCATATATGTTTTAACATGTCTGTCTCTGGCACTGTTGATACTGGGAGTGTCGTCTTACCTTCCTCATGGTTATCGTCAAGACTCAGTACCACATCTGTTTGGATCAGTCGTCGATGTGATGAGGACTTCTGGTTGGGTCGTGCACTACTTTGTTTTGAACTTGTCGTTGAGTCGTGCTCCACTTTATCACTTACTCGTCATTAATTCGTGCACCACATTATGAAGATGTTGCTAACGTTGAGTCATGTATAATAATATGAGTCATTTAGTGTTATCGGAGGTGCACAATCAATACCAATTATATAATATCAATGCTTTCCACGATGTAGTTCACTGAGCACAACTGAGTTCTCACCCCAGGCAAGAATATGTGTAGTGTTCCCCTGAGTTTACTCTCCCTTGGTGGTCATAAATTAAAAGAAAATATATTGTTTTGGTTGTCTTTATAGTTTTTTCTTTCGTTTTGATATTTATTTATATACCAATATGTCAGAAACTAGTGACAGAGCGATGTGAGGAAATAACAAAGTATGTTTATTAAGACAGGGATAAGGTTAATTACCAATTTAAGCTGAAATAATTATCAATACATAGGCCAGTTATCCTCAGTGGCGTTGTTAGGTAGCACAGACTAAGTAGACCAATAGTATGGTAAAAATTATGGTGGAATTATTGTCTTTTTTCTAATTCTATAAACAGTTGTCTTCTAAAATTGCGGCGTCGTAAGGTACTGTGTTTATAGAAGATAGATACTTATACAGTGGCTATTTTAACCATAAATTAACAGGGAAAAAATAACATGCACATCACCCTGCAAGGAATGTGGCCTCAATAGAACACCGCGGAGTAGGTTAATAACTTTTAATGTGTTTGTAAATATCAGAAGGATTATTTAGGGCGCTCAGCACACACTCAGAAACTCAGGGACGTTTAAGTACGTGAAAAAAAAAGTTGTTCTACCACAGTTGTGTGTTAGTGTCAGATGTGTTGAATAATGAACCTGGGTGAGACTGAGGACGTTATGCAGGTCGAGTCACTAACATTACAGGAACTGCAAGTTGTCCAATGCAGCAGACAACACCTTTCCTCCCAAACATGAAAAGAATGAGATAAGAAAGATTACGAGGCTATTAGTATCTGCCTTTTATTTCCTTCATGTTAATCCTTCCTGGGCTGATCAAGACAGGAGATGGATATGCTTAACTGCATCTAGACCTGAGGTTAATATTACAGCGCTATGGTTTCATTATACCAAGTAATGCAGTAAATTCGGTCGTGACGGCATCAATCATCTGTGTCGAGTGTTATCTAAACAGCTCGGGAAACTTCTCAGTCATTTCAGCTGTTTCTATTACTGTATAAATGTGTACTGATATAAAAGACGTCACGTATATTGTATATTAATAATTCAAAGACAGTTTAATATAAAAGATATAGGCTAAGCTGGTGTATCAAAACAGAGAATGTATTTGATTGGTATTACTGACATGAATCATTGTTATCTTATTCAGCAATGAAAGTTGGATCAAACCTTGAACGAATATCAGTTTTATCCTGTTACTATCACAGAGAAGATCAAAATAAAAAAGTGCACCATTCAAGTGGAACACCGACTCATGGGAACACCTCAGTGGGTGTTCAGTGTCAATGCAGGTCTTAATTTGTTACCGTTAACTTGTCCTTCACACCTGAAATCATTAAGCTGTTACCTGTCCTAAGCTGAGAACATTACTCAGTTCATAGTGGTTACAGCCTCAAGTTCAAGAAGCCATAAATTCATAAAATTGTCAGGGTAAACTTTTTTGGCGTGAGAGTTGTGAATTCTTGGAACAATCTGTCAGAGTGTTGTGACTGCACCGAGTGTAAGTTTATTCAAGACCAGACGTGACCTACACTGGCGCAGGTACAGACACTCAGGGGCCAGTGCATATCCAGTATTTGCCAACAGTGCGTAACAGAGACGTGACCTATCGCCCAAGCTACTAATGAGCCTATCAGTGCAGGGGCGGATCCAGAGGGGATGTCCTGGGGGTCCACACCTCCCCTTCTTTAATGTAGTATTGTCCTCAGGCGTATTTGTATAGTAAAAAGTAATTACTATTGACTTCAGGACATCTCTTAATATCAAGTGCACGTGGCTTCAAAATGCCCCCCCCCCCAAGCTGGGTGGGTTCGCTGTGCTCGCCATGTTTTCTCACTCGCAAGTTCTTGGACCCCCTTTAAATATTCCTGGATCCGACCCTGCAGTGGCGAAAATAAAGATAAAAGCAAAATGGATATACTGTACTCTACTGCGTTTTATGGGTATAGTTACCCATAAAACTTCATTTTTTTTAAACTTAATGACTAAAGAAAATGAAATATTTTATGGATAACTTTAAGATTTATCAAGACTTGGCACTGAGGCTTATATGATAGTGATTTACCTTAGATTTTCCTCAAATATTCATGGTATTATTGTATTCAACTAGAGTAAAATTATTAGCGTATTTATTGAAAACTGACGAGATTGGGAACTTCTGAGTCTATCCACAATTGCGCATTGACAACAGCAACTGTACTGGAATCCTATTTCAGTTGTAGGTATACAAGTACAGATAGTCTAATAAACTTTTTAGCTGAAATTCCATATTGTACGTTCAGATATTTCTAGAGGTTATGAGTAATACGGAAGTGAAGCCCAAGAATGTAAGATATAAAGTCATAGAGGTGATATGATATGGAGTCCTAACTTGTAAGCTTTATGTGAGAAAAACTATTGAATACTATTGAATATACTGTATATGTGCAACTGTGCATGGCGCTCACAATTACAACAAAGATTGACGACCCGAGAATATTACAGAGGCAGGAACTCATTGAGAAAAAGGGGCAGTTTTCCAGCATTGCTTCAGAAGAGCAAACCTAAACCTATCTTATCAAAACAACGCAATTTCGTTATATATTTTACTTAACGGTGCAATAATCATCTGAAAAATATATATGCACTTCATGTTTTGACTATAACATCAGTAGCTTACCTGACATATGGTGTAAACACAGAATGTTGGAATACGACACTGCCACGTGGGTGCATAGTTGGGGTAACTCTCCCTATACTGTAGTGTAGAAGGCACTCATTATCAGGGTCAGGGGCTGCCATTTGATGGGAATACCAAAACTATCCAGGTTCAATGCCAGAAACTTAATGACAATTTATCAACATATTATACTGTACTTGCAATGTGGCTGATATTACTCTAAAATTATTACGTATTACCTTAGAGT